AAAACGTGGGGGACCAAGAGAGGCCACCCCATGAGAAACTTTCAAGGAGGACCAGCCGCAGTATAACCAAACAAATATAGCTTTATTGAGAACAAAAATTATTGTAAAATTGATCAAGATGACCTACAATCCTCCAATCAGCATTAAAACAAGGTCTGATAACGTAATCACCATGAATCACAAAAGCCCGGGCCCAGCACACCCACTCAGTCACACTGCCATTTGTACACTAGATCTAATTTCATGATGTTTCGTGACAAGCCATCAGTCCAAGGAACGGGTGGGTGGAATGAACAAATTGACACTTAGCGGACTGCAACTAATCTTCCCATCCGCTACCACTCAGTGAGTGATAATAATAACCCCTTCCCAGGGCTGATGCCTGGCCCAGATGAGCCGCCAAATAAGATGTAAGGCTAGTAAAACAGATAACCCTGTGTGGATCAGTACCAATAAATGTCCTGCTAATAAGCAGAGCATAAATGGCATTAAATAGTCTGTTTAGAGAACATGACGTGGTATAGGAGCAGGTATCCCAGCCTGTATGGAATTGGATTAGTCCACAGTGGATAAATGAGTAAACAGGACAGGCTGAGCAGGCGTATAGCTGGATCACCACAGGGCCGACCATGAGGTGAACCTATCAGATCAATTGTGTCCAGACAGCTGCCAAAGCCCTTTTGTCCATGTATAGAAATTTCAGACTGTACTTTGGACAAGCCCAGTGAGCACGAAGAACATGACTGATTCAATCATACAGGACATAAGTAGAGCATAACACAATTGATGCTCATTCAGGGCTACATCCGCTTCCATCCACTCATCCACAGGGTGGGGGCTCATTGATGCTGTCTATGTCAACACTTTTAGCCCACATGAGCTTCGTCAGGAAAAACACACTGCCAGCCTCTTAAAGGGACTCTCCACCCTTCCCACCAATAGTACAATCCGGGGGAAGTCCCTTACATAAAAAGACAGCAGTCATCAAATATTTCAAAATAATTTTTAAAATAGGAGATATTTGTCATTTCAATGCACTCAATCTATCCTAGACTCACCATCCATTCCACTATTGCATTTCAGTTCAAAGCTGTACAAGGCAATCACCAGATTGTATAGACATCAGAACAGGTGTCCTCCAATGGGAAGGACTATTTAAATGGACTATTTAATGCAATTTATGCTCTGCATATTAACAGGGCATTTAATGGTATTGATCCACACAGAGTTATCTGTTTTACTAGCCATATGGCTTATTTGGCGGCTCTTCTGGGCCAGGCCTTCAGCCTTAGGAGGGGGTTATTATTATCACTCACTGAGTGGTAGCGGGCGGAGAAGACTAGTTACAGTCCACTAAGTGTCAATTTGTTCATTGCACCCACCTGTTCCTTGGACTGATGGCTTGTCACGAAACATCATGAAGATGGATCTAGTTTATGAATGGCAGTGTGAAAGAGTGGGTGTACTGGTCCTGGGCTTTTGGGATTCAAGGTGATAACATTATCAGACCTCATTTTAATGGTGATTGGAGGATTGTATGCCATGTTGACCAATTTTACAATAATTTTTGATCTCAATAAAGCTATATTTGTTTGGTTATACTGCGGCTCATCCTCCTTGAAAGCCTCTCATAGGGCGGCCTCTCTTGGTCCCCCACATGTTTTCTCTAGTTATGATTATGGCTTTGGAGGTACCCCACTGTAAATTAAACAGTGAAACGGTGACCTACTGAAAGTGACTGTATGCTGAGATTCCCCCAAAATGGGGACATATACCCTGGCATAGCATTTGTTTCATTTTTAAATTAGTTACCTGAAATCTCATTATACCATTCCTTTGCCAGGAACTAAGTATTATCTGACATTCATCAAATACAATCACAAATTCTTCCCTTTGGCACTTGTGTATTAGTATCTAACATGTTATTACACTTAGTGCTTTAGGAGATCAAATATTACTACTGATAACTATGTTATTGTATGTACACACTGTAAATGAGTTTTTTCTTAGCACTGCAACTACTGTGATTTAGATTGTGTAATATCTCTCAGTTACATAGTTACATAGTTAATCTGGCTGAAAAAAGACAAAAGTCCATCTAGTTCAACCATAGAAAAAAAAAAAAAGTTATAATCCTATACCCACAGTTGATCCAGAGGAAAGCAAAATAACCCCAGCAAAGCATGATCCAATTTGCTTCTGCTGGGAAAAAAAAAAATCCTTTCTGGTCCCCCGAGAGGCAATCGGATATTCCCTGGATCTACTTTACCTATAAATGTTAGTATCCAGTTATATTCTGTGTATCTAAGGAATAATCCAGACCTTTTTTGAAGCAATCCACTGAGCTGGTCAGAACCAACTCTTGAGGGAGTCTATTCCACATTTTCACAGCTCTCACTGTGAAGAAACCTTTCTATGTTTGGAGATTAAATTACTTTTCCTCCAGATATTAAGAGTACCCCCTTGTCCTCTGTGATGATCTCAGGGTGAATAGCTCTACACCGAGTTCACTATATGAACCACTGATGTATTTATACATGTTGATCATATCCCTCTCATTTATACATGTTGATCATATCTCCTCTTCTCAAGAGAGAATACATTTAGTTCCTCTAATTTTTCCTCATAGCTGAGCTCCTCCATGCCTCGTATCAGTTTAGTTGCCCTTCTCTGTACTTTCTCAAGTTCCCCAATGTTCTTTTTGTGAATTGGTGCCCAAAACTGAACTGCATATTCCAGATGAGGTCTTACTAATGATTTATACAGGGGTAATATGATATCTCTCTCTCTGGAGTCTATACCTCTTTTAATACAAGAAAGTATTTTGCTCCCTTTAGAAGCCGCAGCTTGGCATTGCATGTCATTATTAAGCTTGTGATCTACCAGAATCCCCAGATCCTTCTCCACCATTGATTCCCCCAGTTGTACCCCTCCTAGTATGTATGATGCATTCATATTCTTAGCCCCCAAGTGCATAACCTTACATTTATCAACATTAAATCTAATTTGCCACATAGATGCCCAATTAAACAGTGCATTGAGGTCAGCTTGTAAGTTGAAGACAATCTGTAAGGACCTTTTATTCCACTGCACACCAAACTCAAGACATTTAAGACGCTATGATAATAAAATAATATTTTGTTATAACCTCATAGCTACTGCAGTAGGTGTCCTAGTACAATTTTAAAATCATGCTACCCTCACTCCCATCTCTTTATTGATTCACCTTTTTTGGGAAAGTAGGAATCAACTTAGACCACTCCTTTCCCTTCCACATCTAGAAACAGGAGGTTAGGTGCAGCTCCTATTACAGCATTTCTCATTTCTTTGCCACCGTCTTGTTAAATATATAGTATGTGAACCAGTCTCAATGTGTGAGTTACTCTTATGGCATCTTGCAAATGACAGTATCTCTGACAGGGGTAGAAAATATTGTGGTCCTGAAAACGTGTAAACAGAGCAATGCTAAAGCAGGTAGTAGCTATTAGTCACTAATATTTATTTTATATACTATATCTTTATAATACCAGCATATTACAAAATATTTTACAGTGAACTTTTCATAACAGTCCCTTTCTTTGAAGGAGATCACAATACATTGCCAAACTAGCACACTTTAGAGCCTCTTTTGGAAGAAACTTGACCTACCATTTTGTGCATCATAGGAGGCAACTGGAAACTAGTTTGATAGAGGACATTAGGTTTGGTTCACAGCAAGGACCAATGTGTTTTATGGTATGACATCCACAATATGTATAATTTATGGGATAATTAAAAACACAAGGATGGCTGTATAACAAAGTTTCCCAGTGTAAAACTTTTGAAAAGACTTGAAATAAAGAGATGTTAGCTTAAGGAAAATGTAGATTTATCTACACATGGAAGTTATTTATACAAAAACATTTGCCAACCCTCTGTTTAGTCTAAATTAATAAGTACATTAAATTGTTTGAAGAAAATACATATTTGTATTCCTAAGGTTAGATTGTTGAATATATAAAGACTGTGCATATTTCCATAGCAGAGAACTATTAGTGTTTCATAATTAATATACACAAAATACCTATTTTGATGCATAGATAAAGTAGAATTTACAAAATTGGGTAACTTTAATTCTTCTTAGCACTTTCAAAAACAGAGAATTCCATTATTTACAAATTAGCTCTTGGAGCTGGGAACCCTTCTGTCTTTTTACCCAGATGGGCTCAAGTAGTTATTTTTCACCTAAACTGGTAAACAACATATACGATTCAGCATTCATGGAACAGATAGATATACATACTGAAGAAATAAAACTTAACTGAATAAAACTACCAATGCATCTTTTTAAACTTGCCTTTTCATAGTTACCCAGGGCTATCAAAAGTTGGAAGTGTGCACACTGTATTCCCTGTTGTCAGCTCTATGCTTCTACAATATAAAGTAAATACCTTCATTTAGATACTTAAATTGTTTCAGTAGTAGGGAATTGTAAGTTCATGGATAATGTCATAATGACCTCAGTGCTTCCGTGGTTACCCCCTTTTCACATGCTTTTTCCATTACTTTCTACATTATACGTGTTTGATACAAGGGAAGAGAAGTGTTTTTTATGTATACTATAGAATGTCAGTATTACTGGTTAATGATTGCCTTCCAGCACTACTGCAGACCATTCAGTGCCAAGAAAACTCTGAAGTGAATGGACGTTTAAGGCAGATAAGCATTTGGCCCACCCAGCTTGCCAATTTTCCCTCTGAGTAAAATCCCAGACTGTACTACGCATATTTAAAATGTTTTGTTACCACTTATGCTTGGAGGTTGTTCCACTTACATGCTCTTATTCCATATATAAAACATTTACAGTCATAAAACATACTGACATCTGATCGTTAACATCTAAACCACTTTACCAACTCTAAAGGTTTTAACCGGACTATTTGAATTACACTCATGTATAGATGTATGCTGATAATTTACCTTCCTTTGATATATATACCTTTTCTGTCTTTCAAGGCCAAATGAGCAGATTTAATCAAATGTTGAACCAGATTCCAAATGACTATTATTCCAATCGCAATCAGCCTGGACCTCCAGGTCCAGCTGGTCCTCCAGGCAGTGCTGGAATGAGAGGTGAACCTGGATCTGCAGGAAGATCTGGATTCCCAGGAACACCTGGTGCTCAAGGACCACCTGGAGAAAGAGGTAATATAAAACAGGTGTTAGTATTAATAGAAAAGATCAAATTATTTTTACATTAACCAAAAAAAAAAAAAAATTACAATCCTCTGAAATTGGTTTTACTTTATGTACTGTACATTTGTATAGACAGTGGTTTGTCACATATTGAAACCATTTGTGAAAATACTTGTCACCAAATGTAGTATTGCAGTTGTGTACTATAAAAAATGCCATGTTGTATTTACCCTAGGAATACCAGGAGAAAAAGGGGAAAGAGGTAATTCTGGAATTGGGTCCCAAGGGCCCAGAGGCCTCCCTGGACCACCAGGTTAGTACAAACATTATCTGCCTGCTCCAAAGGTTGCAAGTTGTCATTGTATGTGGATAATATTTACTCCCTATGCACAAATAACAAGGTATGCAGGTTTTCACTATCTGGAACCTGGCAATTGGTAGCTCTGTCACTTGAGTTCTGGAGTGAAAAATAGGTTGGAAAAATGCCCTAGATGATCCCTGACCCCAAACCACAACTCTTAATTTAACTATCAAAAAATTGATCTTTAACCGTATTTTTAAAATCCAGCCTAAAACCTAGCCCTCTAAATTAACTCCTTTAAATCTGTACTTATTTTGATATTAAAGAGTTTTGTGGGTTATCCTGCAAGCTAGATTTGGGTTTGGTGTGAAATAGTTTACCACACAGTTGCTAGATGATTTTAAAATAAGTAAGGATGGTTGTACATTGAGCCAACATTGTATAGGAGTCTACAAAAGGTTGCTGGATTCATTTGTTACCTATTAGCACCTCTACAACAGAAAGTATCATTCAATGTGGTCAAAAAGAATGAGTAGAAATTCTGCACTAGTCCCACCACTTTCTAAATCAGAAGGAGAAGAACTGTTGGTGCTTCAGTGAAGAGCAGTGAAGAGGTCAGAGGAAGTGTGTCTGTAGTGTGAGATCATATGCCCCAAAGCAGTGATACTGTTGGATAGGGAAATTAGCTGATATGTGATAAACAGAGATGTTCAAAGACAACTGGTTATAAAGGAAATTGATCTACAAATAAATTACCTCTTTTTCTTATTGTTTTTTTTATTAACGTGGACCTAAATGTTAAACAATAGTTTATATCCATTTCACCTCCCGCCTCTGCTTCCTAACATAATCTATAAAAGAGACTGCTGTAAGCAGGTTCTGTGCTATTGTATTGATGGATCATGTAGTCTGTATTACTCAATGTATTGAAGGACCGGTGCTTTATAAACAGGGCTGCAGCAATGGGAAAATTTTATGTACAAGCAGAACTGCTGATTGACTTCCTCTGCCTGCACACGTGTTACATATTAGAATTTCACTTACCATCAAGGGAAGCCAATCCATTTTAAAGGCAGCATAGGGGAATATTATAACAAACATCCTCAAAACTCTTCAAAAAGTTCAGTACCATCTTTTCTTTGAGGCACCAACAATCTGGCACACATCCTATAAGTGGGCTAAAGTAACTATATTAGTCTATTTGCTCCTACTTGCATTTAGGAGTCTAGCTAAATTCCTGCTTCTGCGAGTGCTCTGTAAGACCCCTGTTGTACTGTGAGAGTCAATTACAAAGTGCTTTACAAGTCCAGGGTCACAATCCATCTACTGCTGAAACCCTTTTCCTGAATACTCCTTAGGGAGTATGCTCACCAGAGTGGGCATAGACTGTCTGGATGCAGTGTGTTCAACTGGATCCTTCCTGGCACTCTCCAGCTTTTCTGCATTGTGGCAACTACAAGGTAACTTCTGGACAACTGCTGTGGTTAATTTATGGCCTTTCTCATTAAGGGAGCCTGAAACATGCTGGATGCTCTAGTTGTGCCCTGCAGGGGTTAACACTGGAGCTCCAGCCACAACATTTTTATGGTCAGAGGCCAGTGGCTAGAAGGGGCCCTGTGCCATTTTTAAATATGGTGCTGCTTTTCTAACACTGCATGGGTCCCTTTAAAATTGGTGACCAGCACCTGCTGTTCTGAATCTGTGCATTCCTCCATTGTGTTACCTCACTGCGCATGTGTGCCACTTACTGCATGCACATGCGCACCCTCTCAACATTACCACTCTCTAATAAACTATCCCACTGTCATGATCCTTTCAGGATGATCTTCTTTGGGCTCCCCACTGCCTTATGGTGATGAGGTCACTTCTCCCAGTTCTCTAGGCCCAAGTCCAAGCCTGGGACCTAGTCCCACAGCAAGCCTTGGACTCCAAAAACCTCAAAGCCTGTGAATAATTAATTCTTGCAATGAGGGGACACCTCCACATTTGCAACCACTTGGTCTGAAAGCAACTTAGATGCCTGGCTACAATGTAAAATTTTAAACTTTACCTCTCCTCTGCTTCTTATTGCCAGCCCTGCCAACATCCCAGCAAAGACTAGGAGATCTGCCTAATATTTTGACACAGATTCTATCTCAGGGAGTCATTGCCAGTGTTCCAGAACAAGAAAAATGTCAGGGTTTCTACTCAAACCTGTTAACTGTCTCCAAAGCAAAAGGAGGAATTCACCCCATTCTGGACTTAAAGACTCTCAGGGGTTTATTTACTAAAGCTGGAGAGTCCAAAATCAGACTCCCTTCTGCATAGAAACCAATCAGCTTCTAACCTCAGCTTGTTCAATGAAGCTTTGGCAATGAAACCTGGAAGCTGATTGGTTTCTATGCAGAAGGGAGTCTGATTTTGGACTCTCCAGCTTTAGTAAATAAACCCCTCAATGTCTTCAACTGAAAAAATTCAGCATCAGGAATCTATTAGGCCAAATATTGCTGCTTTTCATCTTGGAGAACTTCTGGTCTCCATGGATATCAATAATTCCTTCTTGAGTATCCCCATCTTTACAACTGCATCAACATCTACCTGCATTGTGTGGTGATTACTCAACACTGCCAATGTGTTGCCCTTCCCATTTGTATCTATATATAAAAAAAATATAAATACCTTTTTTCCCTGTTTTATAAGTGATCACATATCCTCTAAGCTCCTTATGCAGCTGAGAACAGAGAGCCGGGGAGGAGAAACAACAGCACATTGAACTTCCCATTGAATGTTTGGGGCGGGGGGTGGCATGTGAGTAGAAGTCTGATCATTTGAGGAGCACACTGAGTTCCCAGCACAGCTAGGGAAATGACCATGCTTTACTCTCATACTAATGTAGTCAGTTTTTAATAGGAAAGCAAAGGGACTGGCAGGAACACCAGGGGTTTCACACAATGGAAGCAATACAAAAAGAACAGGACACTTCTTCATACAAGTACATGGTACAGCAGGCACATATCAGGAATATGAAATGTTGGGTTTACATACTCTTTAAACTCATGAGACAGATTCCTCTGTCTACTCTCACTCACAAGGGTCCTTTCCTTGTTGCCATCACCTTTATGAGGCATGTTTCTAAGTTAGTGGTCTTGTCTGGTAAGGCACATTTTCAGGTGCTACAAGGCTGCCATAAAGCCTAAGGCTTCTTTTCTCCCTAAGGTGGTTTCTCCCTTTCACCCTAACCCAGTGAACCAGGTACATCCCAAGGAGATATCCTTCTGTTGTTTGGATGTGGAGCTAGCTGTTCAAGTTTACCTCTCTATCTTCAAGGGGCTAACTCCTTTTAAATCTTTCCTGAGGATACCTGGAAGGAATAACTTACCTCTCACTCCACTATTGTTAGGTAGATCATCAATCATCATTCAAGCCTTTAGATTTAAAGTGGACCTTCACTCACTTTTACTCATTTATGTAATATTTCTCCACCCCCCCCCCCCTTTCACACAGTTGCATTTTTTAATACCTTTTTTTTGAGGATGATGCAGGAGGAGAGCATTAAGGAAGAAGACCACGCAGGATCTGTTGAGCTTGTGAGTATGTTTATTTAGCATAGACTAAAGAAAAAGGTTTAGTGGCATATTAACCATATTTTTGTGGGTGTAGGTGTAGGTCCTTTAAGGACAACTTTTAAAAGCTGGTAATATCAATTGTAAGTACATCACATATATTTTCCAACTGTGTAATTCAAAGAGGTGAGTATTAAAAGAAAAAGGCTACTTAATAATCAAAAAAGGAATTGGCTCTCTTTTCTAACTTTAATTTTAGGTGATATTTATGTGATGGGCCAGTATTGTGAGATTTTGTTAGGGGATCCTCCTGTCCTTTGCAAGGTTCTAATCTTCCACTATGCTCATTAATATATGTTCCTTTTTCACATGGCCATTAATGTAATACTTTGCTTGATGAAGTCATCTGAACCAACTGTGCTTTGTCAAACTAAATGTGGAACACTTGAGTATGGAAGCAGATTCTTAGTTTTACTTCTAAACCTGTATTTCTTGGTGTCCTTTTCAACTGTTACTGGATAACATACAACTTTACAAATAGTACTCCATTCTAAGCTAGCAGCCCCCTAATGTATTACTTGTTGTATGCTCTGATTATCTGCCAATGTCTGGCATGATAGCTATCTGGCTGTTTCTGTATTTAATTTGTAGTTAAAACACAGTTTTTAATTACAAAATGTACAAGATGCTTGCAACAATTTTATCCTCACTTGATTCAAGATTTACATTTTAGCTAACCATAATAGTACTGCTTCCAAAAAAAACATTACTTCATCTGCCCTTGGGCCACAGGGTAGCAGATTTAATGCACTAATACATTTGAGTTAGACTGCTGTGTGCTTTAGTATGCGGTAGTTTCCCTAGAGGTCATTATATTTTAGATGTGGAAACAAACCAAAGGAATTATTTGATGTTTTTAAGTTGTCCTTGCCTTGCCAGATATGATCCTGAGTACAATAGACATTGTGTGGATGCATTGTAAAAATAAATATTGCCAGAGAATTCAACATGTTTTGGTTATTTTGGTGGTGTCTTCATTAACAACAGATGCAGACTCTGACATTTTTTGCCCTAGCATTGTACAAGTATGTCTATATGTCTAGACAGTTTCAGTGCCAGATTAATTATTAGTTCTAGTCTAAAAGAATAGAAAACAAACCTTACAGAATTTTGTATTTGTTTTAAAATCAGGACCACCAGGTGAATCAAGAACTGGACCACCAGGCTCTACAGGTTCCACAGGGCCTCCAGGACCTTCAGGCCGGCCGGGTAACCAAGGAATTAGAGGTCCTGTTGGTCCACCTGGGTATTGTGATGCTTCACTATGTGCAAGTATTCCTTACAATGGCCAAGGATATCCAGGTATGTTACTAATTATATTGTTGTAATGGTTTGTGGATGCTATCAAGATATAATACCTTTGCTAATGTGATTTCATGATTTTGATTTCTAAACAACTGATTGTTGATGTTGAATATAATAATTCTATTCTTCTTCATTGTTTACTTTAATGTATTTCATGCTCCACATTAATTCACAAACAATGCATGCAATAATTGATAGTGAGTGTAAATATATTCAAATTATGCATTGCACATCTATCTTAAATTAAAAACATATTTGCTGTCTCTTTCATTTTAGAAAAATATATAGCCTTAGGATGGCTATAAATGGTTTGATATGCTGCTTGGGCAAGTTACCTAGGAAGTATCATGGCTGTCATTGGCTCCATTGGATTGAAGCTGCCATCTTGGATGGTAGACTTCTTCTTAAAATGTTAGGTGCCTGGCTGTCCCTGACTCCATTATTTTGTGGCCCAGAAAAAGCTTGCAGCAAGTTAAATCAGTCCTTGATGTCCTGCATATTTCATTTGTGGTAGTGGCTCAGAAAATTTGTCAACCAGAGGATCAGCAGAATAATCAAGGAACTCACATTTTTTTTTAGAAATGGCAGCCCCTATATTTTTCTTATGGTAGGTGTTTCCTTTAAGGTGGAAAAAGTTCCTGCCCTTGTTTGTATGTATCCCTATATACATGTGACTAAGCAGTCATAGATAAACGCATCTATTTGTGCTGCTGCAAACACATACAGTACATTAATTCTATATAATTTAGATATATTTATTATACAAAAAAAATTTCAAATGGCCCATCTTTTTCATCATTTCTATTAATTAAAATAATAAATAATGCATCACCTGTCACAGCCTTTCTTACAAGCAATGCTTTACCACACTCTGCCGAATCTTGCCCACCCCTTTCCTTCCATTCTTCATGTTTCAGAGGTGCCTGGTGGATATTGTGTTTGGAGCAGGCAATTATAGTGTTCTTATGCCCATAATAAAATCTATTTCTTTGCTGTAGTTACATTAAAATACTATATAATGCATTTCATTGATATACAACACTTCTTTAGAGTATGTGTCACAAATACACTTTTTTTGTACATCTCTTATCCCACCAACCACTCTTGACATAGTCCAGCCTGAAGGACTAAGTGTGGTTTTACCTATGCATTAAATGTGACCACCCATCAAAAGAAAGATCAGTGTAGAGACAAATACAGTGTAGTCTTTATGTGGGTGACAAGGTTGCGTACCATTTTTCATGTTCCACTGCAACCTACCCACACATAAGTAATATTATTTCACTATCCTTTGCTATTTGTGACTATGAAAAAACAAATAAACTACACTATGTAGGGCTCTGCTGTCTCTTGTCCCTTTTTTCAGAGAGCGAAAAAAATACATCTATTTGTGAGGCTGCCCAACATGCTGATGGGCCATAGTGTCGGATGGGGGCCTAGCAGCAGGCTCCAACAGCAGTATTTTTTTTTTATACTCAATGGAAGACACATTACTCTGGGGTCAGTAGGTAATGTCCAGCACAGTTTTACTAGTCTCCTTCTATCTTACCCCCTAGTCAGTGCATATCCCAAAACACTGATCTGTACATACGAACAAATGCACATGCAGAAGAGGAAACAAAAGGTACACAAAATTGTTGTAGAAAAGCATGTATCAGTTTCATTTTGATTTATATAAGAATCCTTGAACTGTCTGTACTGTATTTAGGTGGAAAACAATGTATTTTGCATCTCTTACTTTTAAACACTAACAAATATTTGACCTGTTTCAGGTTCCGGCTAACACATTTTAGTCTCCAGTGCTGCTTACAGTTTGAATTGATGAAAATCGTGTTTCTGAGATGTTTGCGCACGTGCTTACTCTGAAATGATTTTTTTGGGAAATTTCACCATGGATATAGCTAATGACTTGTATTGCCATCACAAAAAAGGGGACTATTTTCTATACTAACAACGGAATGGAAACCAGGACAGCGATGTCAGCTTACAAAGCCTGTTTGCATTTCTGTAGCGACAAAAAGCCATGTCAAGTATGAGAACAAAAAACAGGGCCTCAGTTATATGAGAGGTCAATATAGCTACTAACTACTGTATCTGAAGTAGCCCTTCTAAATAGAGATTTAACATATGGAAATAGAAATGATTTATGTAAATAATAAACTAATTGTGGCTTGTAAATGATTGTATGACAACATATCCACTAAAATCAGTTAACATTATTTTACATGATGCTAATACATTAAAGCCTGCTGCTTGCTATCTGCTAGAATAACCATTGACCCTTCATCCCTTTGAAAGTTCTACGGTGCTACTGCCTCTCAGGCAAGACTGAGTAATAACATAACCTCTAAAGCATTTAACTTTGTATGTAGCTGAACATTATAATATATAACAATGCCTCTAGCATTATGTATTACATTATTTATTGTTGCAGATTAGAGTTAATCACAACAATTTACTTATAAATTATTTCAGCTAACATGCACCATGTTCCAAGAAAAAAAAAACCTATTGAATTATACAATGTATAATCCAATACCAAATGCATTTTATTATACAATGTGTAATATTTCACTAAAATATCTGTCCCTAATTGATGACACTCTGACTTCTAACTATCAAATAATAAGAAAGCATCTAACCTTTAGAATGTATATAAACTGTGAAACACAGCAAAATCAAATGCATTTTTTATGTCTTGAGGTATTTGCAAGATATATTTAATGAGCTTGCATATACCAAATAATGTAGAACTAAACAGCTAGCCAATCTGATATCATATATAGGTAAATCTATATATAGGTTTGTCTATATATAGAATGCCAATATATATGTAGACATGTTTGTATAAAAAAAGTAAAATGTATCATACAATATGTCCATGGATTAATATAATGAGATAATTATTTTGTTCAATCGGACAAATATTTTTAACCAGAACCTTATCAACCTGAAAGTGGACCAATTGAGCCTGACAGTCAACCCTACGTAGTTCAAATATCACCAGAAAGACCAGATGATGAGGACTATGGACATGACATGCAGCCAGACTATGCTGAACATATGCGATGGAGAAGATCCCTAAGAAAGAATGTAGTGAAATCATAAAATGTTTTGTATTTAATACCCTATATGTGTCATTACTTGGTTACAACAGTGAAACAATACACGGAGAGTAAGTAGATAGCATGCTTTCCAATTTCCTAACAGGATACTGCAATCAAGAAATGCACTTGCCCATATGTACACATACCTTGTTTATGTTTATACTGCGATTAGTAGATCTCACCGTAGAAACAGTAGGGTGCTTCTTATCCCATGCGTGCGTAAATGCTTGTAAAATATGTTGTGCTTTTGTTTTTTCCAAATGTGTGAATAAAGATACAAAATTTTATAGAATTTTATATAGCAGAAACTTATGTCATCCCTGCTTTGTAGACCATGTTGCCAGTCCTAGAATGCCCATTATACAAACCATTTTCTCTGTACAACATGTACCCTTCTACTCACACCTGCATTATACTTTGTAGGGAATATACTGCTTTTTGTACGCTGCCTCCTTTTAGGCATCCAGAAACCTTTCAACATAGCTAAACATAGTGCGCCTGTTGGGTGCAGGTTTATATTGTAGACACATTAACAGTTACATGTATGCCAAATTGCAGTCAGTCCTGCAGAAAATGGAATTGCATGTTTGTGCTGTATATTTAGTATTGACAAATTTCAGAATATAGTGTTTCTTAGTTCTCAAAGCAGTTTGAAATAACCTGCAAGACTATGAAAATAGATTTGCTGTCTGAAAAATTTTAACTGCAAATTGTGAATTTCACTGCCTTATATTTTTATTTATTTCTGAAACAAAAGAGGCGTTTTTTTTCAATAAAACTACTGAAAACAAAGTATTTAGCTTCATTGTGTTCTTTAAATAAGACAGACATATTAGTGGTGGTCATGTACAGCATTTATACACAATGTGCAAGCTTTATGAACCATAGCTTTCAACCATTTACAGTATATATCATTCCAGAGTAATAGGTGAGGTCAATATCTAAGAAGTATTATTATTATTATTATTTTTATAATACAGGATTTATATAGCGCCAACAGTTTGCGCAGCATTTTACAAAATGAAGGTAGACATTACAGTTACAATACAAATTTGTTACAAGAGGAAACAGAGGGCCCTGCTTGTTAGAGCTTACAATCTAAGTAGTAGACAAAAAGGACAAGCTAACACACATATATTGCAAGTGTATGCTTTATTACAGTACATGGTAATGTTACAACTTACAATTTAAAATCCTTCTAACAACATATAGATTTACGGATTATTTCAACAGATTTTAGAAATACCCTAGCAGTATGGTTTGGGCTTATGTCAGATTTACAAACATACATAGTCAATGACATACAATGACATACAAAAATGACATACAAAGCCATTCAAAAAACTACCTCACCGACCTGACACAGTGATTTCCGAAGATCTCCGACGGGGGAGGACTGTTTCGTTTACTTAATAGTTAACCCTTTGAACGCCCCTCATGTTAACCCCTTTGTTAACCCCTTTGTGCCAGTGCCATTAGTACAGTGTCAGTGCTTTTTATTAGCACTGAACTGATCACTGTATTGGTGTCACTGGAGATGTCAGTGACACCAGATCAGTTCCCCCCAGTGTCAGAATGTTTGCCGCATTCCCACTATAAGTCGCTGATTGCCGCCATTACTAATAGAAAAAAAAATTCCAGTGTCTATACTGCCATTTGTAAACACTATAACTTTCATGTAAACCAATTAATTTACACGTATTGGGATTTTTTTTTAGCAGAGACATGTAGCAGAATACATTTTGATGTAAATTTAATGATGAAATTTGATTTTTAAAATTTTTGTACTGGGCACGTTTAATAGTAAAAAGTAAAAAAAATTGGTTTTCTCTCAAAATTGTCGGTCTTTTTTTATAGAGCAAAAAATAAAAAGTGCACAAGTGATCAAATACCACCAAAAGAAAGCTCAATTCGTGGGAAAAAAGGACATAAATTTCATTTGGGTGCAGTGTTGCATGACCGCAAAATTGTCAGTTTAAGTAAAGCAGCGCCTTAACACAAAAAATGGCCTGGTCAGGAAGGGGGGTAAATCCTCAGGAGGGCAAGTGGTTAAAGACACAACACACATATTAAAAACACAGGTGTATCTGTTAAAAACAAACTCCACCCTAAGTGATCCTTCTAATAGATAAGGTGCATATATACAGGTACATCCAAGAACATAGACATAGAAACTTGTAATAAATGTGTTATCCAAGTTCATTGGATACCTATATAGAGGATATCATTGATCTTAAAGTGGGCCTTTAGTCATAAAATTAAGTCCTGCTAGGTCACTTCAGGTTGTCCTCTTTTGCATGTATAGCTATGAAAAACATAAAAAAATTAAGGGGTTTATTTACTAAAGCTAGAGAGTGCAAAATCCGGCTCACTTCTGCATAAAAACCAATCAGCTTCCAGGTTTTATTGCCAACGCTTAATTGAACAAGCTGAGGTTAAAAGCTGATTGGTTTCTATGCAAAAGTGAGCCACATTTTGCACTTTCCAGCTTTAGTAAATAAACCCCCAAGTGTCTATACTGTTTAAAATCTAATAATACACTATCTCACCCAGCTCTGCACATGCTCAGTTGCTCTCTGTGTACTGTGCGTAAATGTAGAGGCTGAGCCGCTGACAGATCAACAAAGATTTATTGCTGCTCAGGGTCAAAATGGTGGCCTCCGCAAAGAAGAAACAGGAACAATGTAAGAGGCATTTTCCAGCACACACTAATATAGGTAGCATAATTATTAATGTGGAATGTATGTTCCTTGCTAAATAACATTATTTTTTTCAAGTTGCTATGGGTAAAGTTCCACTTTAAAGTGAACTAAGATGGCTCTGAAGTATTAAATTATAAATGTATAAGGTTGTCCACTTAATCCATAGATAGGCTGCAATTAGAGCTTCCAGATCAATCAAAGGAAGGACTTATCAACAATTTCATGCACTGTTGAAAAGGTAAGGCAATCCTCAGGAGCAGATATAGGTTGATAGACTCTTTTCTGACATAATCTTCCAGGCATGATGGCTGTGTATATAAACTAGATCCAGCATGCTGAGGTGATATAGCCAAACTATACTATGTAAACATTTTCCAGGAGCCTTTGACACTCCATTTATTCAAGGGTCTCAAAGTGGATTTAACCTGTTATCTGTAGTAGAAAAGGAATGTCCACAGGGACAACCCAGACCCAAAATATATGGTTTTCACATTACTTATTCCATGAATAAAGCCAGGAGTCCATCCATCATGAAGGAATGTAAGGGAGCACCACCACAGGATTATTTCAAGCAACCCTAATTTAAAAAATATGAATTACAAAAGTTCAAAACATATCCATCCTAACACTTCAGACTGTTTTCTGTTCAAAATGATTCAGTGTGTGGGGTCTTTCAATATATTTTCAAAGAAACAGCCTTTGTTGTCATGTCATAGTGTTAGAGAAAAGCTTCATAAATAAAATCTAATACATACACCATTGTTTCTACACTATATATTTTCCCCATAACATGGAAAAAAACATGCACATTTGGTACTGTTTGATTCCAGACAAATTTAGGAAAAAAAACTTTGCTTCATCATTTACATTTTATATGTGGTCCAAATCACCAGAAAATCATTTTTTTCACTTCTAAAAAAATAAAGTGTATCATTCAAAGCGGGGTCGGCAACATCAGTTAACCTCTTAAGTTATCCAGCAGGTGATTGGTTGCTAGGATTCCAGGTGGTCCTAGCAACCAATCACAAGCTTGTTAATGTAAAAAGTTAACTACAGCAGCTCAAAAGAAAGTACTGTCCCCAAAAACAATGTCAAGATTGGTTAGGTTGACTGCAAAACAAAGCAGCAATTTTAACAGTCACATATCAAAAACCTACTAGCCCTGGGACTCAAGGGGGTTTACATAGGTTAAAGGTGCTGAAACTCAAGTGGTTGACATATGTGCCAATAACAACACCATAGTGGTTTCCATCCTCTGTCTGTGGCATAACAGGCATCTTCTCTTTACACCTCTCCTTTACTACATAAGTATCTTCAGCTGCATCCACTACATCTACTGTCTCAAGCAATATGGTTGAAAGTCTGACAGGGAGTTTGAAAGGTTTACATTGTGACACATCAAGTAGGGAAGAAGGTCAGCATGGAGCCACCCTGGGTAGGGCCATGAATAGATTTCAAGAGCTACACCTGCAACAGTGGTCTGTCAATGAGTATTTATGTGAGTACGGGATGAAGAAAAGCTATGGGGATCTAAGAGCTCTTTTCACCATGTAAGTGGCTCCTGGTTTAGGACATGTGTACTTCCTTGTGAGCATTCAAAGCAGTGACAAGAATGGTAAGCTGCAACAAGGTGGGGATCAATTACTTGATCCTTCTGGTTTTGCTGTGGGGTATAATAGACTGAGCATTTGAGGCAGAGCAGAAGAGGGAGGACGAAGGTCACAGGGCATAGAGGATCCTTTCACAATTGACTTCATCACTGTGAGGTAGCAGCAAGCAGAGGAGGAACATGAGGAGAAGGGTTGGAGTGCCAGCAATGAGGAGGACATAGGGCAGATTTTCAGGGGTACAATTTACCCCCCCAGACATTTTATGTGAGTAGAGTGAGATTGTTGAGGACACCATTGTCCTCAGTGACACCAAGGACTCGTGTTATCCTGTCACCTAATATTTTTGGCGAATGTGCTCATTCACGCCTCAGTTCCTGTGTAAGTACCCTAGAATTTAGGCAGAAGAGGACCATTATTGGCTAGCCACATTTTTGGATTCCTGATACAGGTGGAAAATGGCAGATCTCATTCTGCCATCAGAGCAGAAACAAAAAATTAAGAGGCTCTGTGGAAGAACCACTTGTTCCCCTTCTAGAGAGTGGTAGGTTTCCTTTCATGGCCAACATGCCTCAGTTCCTCAAGTTGCTGAAATAAAGAGCAGTAGTGTCCTCAGTAAGTCTTTAAATTGTTCTTTAGAATATATCAGTTGGGGCTGTGCCTAAACCATATAAACTCATATTAGCTGGTGT